CACCTTCCTGTTTTCTTCACGTTTGTTGGGGGAGTTCATGAAAAAAGTTAAAAATTTGTAGGGGTTATTTGAGACTCTTTAGAGTTCTGGAGGTTTAGGGGGGCTTTTCTAAATACGCCTCGAAGTTTTGGATGGTTTTGTAAAATTTACCCTTTACTTTACTCTCCTATGCAATTAGACTCTAGTTCCACACAAACTAAAAGAGATATTTATCAAACAATTAAGATTTAACGAGCATAATTGACCAGGGCATTGCTGCAACATTAGCATGAACAAAATAAAAAAGTAATGGTTTAATTATTTGGTTTAGAATTTCTTAATTTGTAGATAAAACTATTTTTTCTAAGTTGTATTGCTAATAAATTAATAACAACAAATGTAAAAGTTAATGGTTTTATCATTTTATTAAGAATTTTCTCTTTTAATTTGTGGGGAAAAAAGAAGATGTAAGCATCTTAATTAGTTCCCTAAATTATTGAATTTGCTCTAATATCCCCTAAATCATTAAGTTGTTTGAAATTAACTCCCCTTAATTAGCACTTGTTTAATTTGGGAAATATTCCTTCAATTTTAACTTTTTCAGAGTGGGTACCCTATTTTATACAAATACATGTTGGAGGTGTTTTTTTTTGGGTGGGGTGGGGTGGGGTGGGGGGGGAGGGAGGGGTGGGGTGGGGGGGAGGGGAGGATTTTAATGTTAATGTTGGGACGTGGGAGACGCCTATATCACCACGGAAGCTAATTCAATCCCGAGAGAAAACAACCCTAGTTTAAGTTTATGTCAAACTCAAACTAACCAATACAGGCAATAACGAATACACAGATAAATCAAATAAGTAAATGAGATGAAACAACAGATGTACGTGGTTCGGCAAACTTGCCTACGTCCACGGGAGCCGCACAAATAATTTCTTATTTAACCACAAGAAATTACAAAGCTTGTAAAAGAGAGAATCTCTAACTTGAGATCTCTCACAACAACAACTCTTCACTGTAGTAAATATTTTCTACAGGACTTTGTAATTTTTCTTCACCAAAAAATTCACTTCTTAATTGACCTTGAGAAGAGCCGCCACCACAGAGGTGCGAAAACGCCTCTGTAAAAATCACGAGTGAGCTTCACCTGATCTCGTGAACAGGGTTTCCCTTTTATAGGGAAACCCTAAGGCAGTTGGTGCGATCTAGCTGGATCCCACCCACGCAGGCTAAATCAACGCCCGCAGGCGAGTTCCCTCCTGGCGAGTTTGCTCGCACTCGAACAAGCGAGTTTTGGTCGCCTCTCCAAAACCCGCAGGCGACATCTTCGACCCGTCAGGCGAAAGAACATCATTTTCTCGATTCAGGCAAAATCTCTCATCCTCGCCTCCTCGCCCCTTTCAATAGGCGAGCACCGGAGCCTCCTCCAGACCCGCGGTCGTCGTCGTCGAGCGCAGCCTCCGTCTCCGATGATCCGCCATCGTCGTTCGCTACCTCCAACTCCGACGATCGCTGTCGTCGAGGTAAGTACTCTTCAGTTAATGATTGGAGTGACAAAGTGGAAAAAGTTCTACCTCTCTCAGAAGTTGAAGGGGGGATTGAAAAAAGAAGCAAAACTGACATTTTGTGAGCTCGAGTTATTCAGTGAGAATGGCTTAGCAATTACTTATATATAATTAAAGGTTAATCTAATCATGAGTAACAAATTGGATAGATTTTGTCGCAAAATAGTTTAGTAATTGCTCATCCATAGTTAAGTACTAATCTAACCATGTTTAAACATTTCATTCAAAAATTTATTTTGAATTTTTTGGATTAAAATATTTTGGGAGTTGTAATGTATGTGAAAGAAGCCAAAAAAATTATTAAATATTAAGTTTAGAAATTTCTTTTTAGTTTGTCAATAAATTTTTTTAGTGTTGTACTTAAGATATCGACATATTATATTTATATTTTTAGTCATGTTAATAATCATAGTGATGTATTCGCATTGAATTATATCCTTTTTATTTTGAGCCACTAAACCCAAATGAAACTTACTAGGTCTACTTCAGCTGCAAGAGCTTATCAGGTTTAAATTCATTATTGATTTTCCCTGAATGCAAGATATGCATGTGCTCTATAATGCAAATTGCTTTCCTTAATGAGAAAAGAGGCTTGGGTTCCATTCTTCTTAAGCTTAGGAAGCAAATTTTGTTGTGTATGTTTTGGGCAATGAGGAGGGACTGGTCAGAGAAAAAGTAGCCTTTTCTTTTGGAAAAATTTAACAAAAACCCTTTTAAGTTTGAGCCTTTTCCAGATTAACTTTCAACAATCTTTTAACATACTTTTTATAGGCAAAAATATTTCCATGCCAATTTTGCACACATGTGATAACCGAACTCGTTGTTACGAGGGCTATTTGAATAATGTTAAAAGTGGATTTTTTTTTTTTTAAGAACCCAAAGCATAAGAAGAATATAAGGTGAGTTCTGGGGCATTTTGAAGGTTAGAGTCCGGAGGGCTATCTAAGGAACGACCATTTAAAGGGGGTTTTCTTGAAATGTACCCATATCCTTTTCTATTTTTAGCTTATTTGCACTTTGCCACCCCAAAGTTTACCAATATTTTTATTTTGATATCTCGAAGTATCTTTTTAACACTTAGACACTCCAAAGTTTGATACTCCAAAGTTTAAATCCCATTTCACTTTGATACCCCCAAAATATTTCTTTCACACTTTGATAACCCAAAGTTTCAATCAGGTTACACTTTGATGCCACCGTTTATATTATGGTAGATTCCTACTAAATTTATATTACGTCCTTAACATGTGATACATTAGATCTCCTTTACCCAGTTGGTAGTGATACGAATTTAATCGAAAACCTAACAATATGTGGATAGAGGTATCAAGGTGAAATGATATTGAATCTTTGGTATATCAAAATGGTAAAAAGATACTTTGAGGTATCAAAGTGAAGTGACACCGAAACTTTGGTATATGACAGTGTTGAAAAATTCTGTGGTTGTAAAGTGAAAAGGTGGATAAATTTTGGGGGATCAAAGTAAAAAATACATCTCTATTTATTTTTTACTTTTTATCTACTTCTTTCAATTGAGCACGGGTGAGATAAAACATATGTTTTAGCTAAAATTTATTATTTAAAGGGGTTTTTTCTGAAATAAACTACTATATGTATATATGACCGTGTTATCTTATCTGCTGCTATGAATGCACTGTGGTTTTATTGTGGTTTATGAGGTTTACTATGGCTTAATTACTATTGCCCTTTTCGTTGTCATCTTCTAAAGTTTCGGAAGCTATAGTACCTAGCTACAATAAATTTTCCAAAAAAATTTAGTAGATGGTATAATAATAAATAGTAGATAAATAATAATAATACTAAACTATTGTGTGCACTGTAGCTTAGGAACAGTGGTAACCCTAATGGCTTTAGTATATAAGATAAATTTGATTCCAATCCTTGCCGCGTGTTAGAGCACGTAGCTAGGAGCCTAAAGCCAAGAGTTTTTTGTGGGTCCACATCACTTGCCCAAACAAGCAATATTTAGACTTCAGTTCACTCGCTTCTGATGCCCGGAAGCAAGTGAACTACGTAGCGAGTGGCGGCAGGGTGTAAATTGGAAAATGACCGAAAGTAGAGGATCAGGTATAACTTTATGCACCTGTTCCTATCCTCGGCGTTTTTGCTAGAATCAAGAAAAACCTATTCTAGCCTACAACTGCACTACATATTTACTTTCATGCTACCTCTCAAACTCTGTTAACGAGAGATATCTCACGCCTAATAGGCCAAAAACACCTCGACTTTTTCTTCATTAATTCTATCTTCACCATGCACCCAACTCTTTCAATTATATTCGCAAATGTTTATATGTATGTGCGCATATATATGTGGATATTTGTACATATACAGGGTAAATTGCATATAAAACCCCCTCACCAATATTTTCAGTTGTACTTGTCACCCTTCAATTGTTT